AACTGCGAGGCCTAGACGAAGCCGTAAAACGTGTACGCGGAGAACTCGTGAACAAAATGGGGAAACTGAATGAAGTCGACGAGCACATCGCGCTCGAGAAAATAAAACTCACCGAAACGGACGACGAGGATATGAAGCACTGTATCGAAAAACGACTGCGTGACTTGCAAGATGAGAGACGGACTCGGTTGGAATCCGCTTCCTCGAACCGGGAACAGCTTCGATCCCAGATCAGCCGCATGCGGGAAACCATCGATCGAGTCCTAAATGAGAACACCACGTTGGCCAACAGGATCCGAATCCTCTTCAGAGAGCAAGGGATTATCGCCAGCATTCTGACTGCATTGGGCTTCATCATATCAACCCTGGTGGTGTCATTGACGCCTGCCGGTGGCAGTGGTACACCAACACCCCCAAGTGGTGGCGTCAGAGACTGGATAAAAAAACACCTGAAATCCCTCGGGGAGGCCCTGGCTAAACTGGCTGGTAAGGCCGCCGAAGCCCTACCCGGTATCCTTGGTAGCATCGTCTTGCATGGCTGCTGAGCGCTCTGGCTAAAACTGCCACGTGGCTCGGTCAAAACCTGTGGGCAGCCATCGTCGCCGTTGCGGGTCTGGTGTACGTAGCGGCTAAGGAATTTTTAGCCAAATGAGTCCCAACCCGGCTGCAACCCCGCCAACCACCAGGGCTGTTTTACGATCGATGTCCTGTTGATTGGATTGTGGCTGTGGGGGTGTTAGTTGAACCCTAGGCTCTGGGGGTGGTACGACTATACCCATTTCACCGGTCGTGGGTGGTGGGACGTGGGGGTGTTAACATCGGGGTTGACGCCCAACTTTTGGTCTGCCGTGGCTATGACTATTTCGTTGTTGTAGCCCACCACTTTTTTTACTCTCAGTTGCATATCGCTCGGAGCCATGTACAGTCCCACGTCGAACACGTAATCGACTTTCGACCTGGCGAATTCCAACACGTCTTGGTAGCGTTTGATGGCACTCGGTAGATCAACTGGAGCATTGATAGCATCCTGAACGTTAACAACGAACTGTTTCTGCGCGTCGTAAGCAGTCCCCTTACCGATAATACTGGAACGCGTTTGCGCCTGCGCACCTAACAGCGCCCACACGTACGTTCGAATCGAGTCGTTCAAGCGTTCAGTGCCGGCACGAGTAAACCCTTTCGACGTGTCCAGCATGAACATTTTCCAATCATCCACGGGCCCCTGCTCGAACCTCCAGAATCGGTAATCCTTGCTGTCATCGAAAGCCATGTAACGGTCATCCCACTCGTTTGTTGTGATATGATACGACTTGTAACCCCAATCTTTCACCAGCTGTTTGCTGGCTTCTGCGATATGCATATTGTGAGCGATGGGGATACCCAACCCATGGTTCGGGCCCGGCAAACGGCAATCCGTCTTCGGGTCTAGTTCGAATTCGTTGCAAACGCGTTCGTAGGCTCGTCTATCGTACTGGTTGTTTACTGCGTCCCATGCTTCGTCCTGTGGGAGCGGGGCGCTGATCTCTTTGAGGATACGTCTGATCTGGTAGTACACATGGAATGTGAACACAGACTGACTCAGCAGCCCCCGCCGAGTGTCGGTCAATGTCACACCACACCCCATTGTAGCGCACCACACAGCGAAGTTGAGTTGATTCTGCCAGAACTGCATCGGGTTGTTGAACCAAGCGTGGACTACCTTAGCGTTAGTCACCTAAAACCTATACCTAGCAAATACATCTATAAACTGGGCGTCGAAATACAACCCAGCAGCGACCACGATCTTGTGTGGGAAATCTATGTCCAGTTTAGGGTAAAACACTCCCGGCTTGTACATTTTTAAAGTATTATATAATGGATATATATACTCTAACATGTACGTAACACTTCCAGGAATAACGAGCGGCGAGGCCGTTCAGCTGATGCACGCGATCGATAACACGTCGGGTCAACTCGAAGTCGCACTCTGCGATATCACCTACCTACCACGATGGACTAACATCAACGTCAACAACAACAAGCTGTTCGTCAGTGGTGCCCGCAACCAGATAACTGACGGCTACTACAGCGTGTGCTCACTAAGCGACGAGGTCTTCAAGCCCCTAGGAGCCAAACTCAAGATGAACGACTCAAACGGCACAGTGGTGTTAATCAACAACGGAATAAACCCCTTGAGGCTCGGTCGACCATTGGCGAGGACACTCGGTATGCCGCCTGATGAGATAAAACCAACAACTACCGTCACAGGCACGAAGTTACCTGACCTAGTACCGTACCGAGAGCTGTGTATTCATCTCGGCCAGCTGAGCACAACGGACAACATTCAAGGAGGTCACCCTTCCACGATACTGAGAGCCGTACCGGTGAAAACGGAGAAATACAACGATGGCAGAACCGAGTCGTTTTCACCGCGGCAGTATAAGAGGTTAATATCGGTGTTACATATAAATCATAACCCTGTGAATATAGGATACCTCAGCATAATGCTACACATAAAATGACTAGCGCACAAGGCCCGGGATGAAGTTGAAAAATTGAAGCATCAATGCGGGGATCTCCGACCTCGGGGAGACACGCCGCTTTCGACGACCCCAGAGTAGATGGAAAATTGTACGCCTTGCAACTGAAAAACAACATTTACAAACGCGTTGAAGTCCCCTCCGATGGAGCCCTAGGTGATATAGTAGATACCTCAAGAGTGGTCGTCAACACTCGGTACGCCCTAGTCAACACCGGTGATGATAAATGGATAGTATACCCATCGTTCGGGGGCAAACTGTTCGACTTAGAAGATGTTGAGAGCACTACCGTCGCCTGAAACAAGCCATATACGCTCATCTTCACCGACGGTGACAAGTGGGTGTTGTTACCCGCTAAAGGCGACTGGTTTCTCAATATAAGGCTTGGCTCCCCCTACGTGTTCAAAGATAACAAAGACAACTACCTGAACAAAGTCGTGAACAACGGAACCCTGCTCGTGGCTTACGTCCCGGCTCAGAGACGTAGCGTAGTCATCAGCCCAGTCGCCAGTATGGCAGCCCACATGCTATCGAGTAAACCGGGAGTGCAAGATGGGGCATTGCAGTTGGTGTCTGAATTCGAAGGCGTGGTCAACGTCCTGGCGAGCCTACCGGTGAACTCCACGCTGATCATCAAAGCCTACCTAGGGGAACCATCGCAGGATGAAGTCGAAATCGTGAAGGGGGTCAAACTCGGGTGGGTGAAACGGCACCAGTATCAGGTTTGCACTGTTTACGTGCGGGTCGGTGTCGACTACCACACCAGTCTGCAGGGGGTCATCGTGACCGTGGAAGACACGATATCACTCACCAAGATCTTCCTACCCGACAACATACACTTCATGGGGTTGAAGTGCACCCCTGAGAAATTATCAGAAAAACAAATGGAAACTATCTCGTAATAGTATTATAGCAATGGCCAATCGGCATCGGCCCAATGCCACACTTAACGATCTAGGAGACACGGAGGGATTCGACCAGCCTGGCGAGGAAGGCGCGCCTTGTATGCCCTACGCTTGAAAGGTAACGTGTATAGGCGGGCAGCAATAGTCGATCGCCCCAATGTCACACTTAACGATCTAGTCGACACGGAGGGGTTCGGAGAGTTGAAGTCCGATGCCCAATTAGTTATGGCATCAGGCTCCACACTCATGATAGAAGTCATGCTAAGGGGTATTGTTAAGGATTCAGGCCTGCGCCTTTTACCTGGGGTGACAGTATATTGGGATAACACCGTATCACTCCCCATACGTTGCCGTATCGTCATACAATTGGGGGACCAACGGAGATTACTGCCCACCTCGATAGACCTGCCGGGGGTTGGTATAGCCCAAAAGTCACATATTATCGTTTCAAGTATCTTCGTACACCCGGATCTAAACCTTATAAGCCTCAAGTACGTTGACCGACTATTAATAAAAGCCCAATTAGAAAATATCTGGTAAGATATATTATATGCACATAGGATGGGGCTATACCCAGTCGTAGAGGAAGTAGCGAAGACCCTGGAAACTGTAGACGGGTTCCGCTTGAGACAGTTATGTGATGTAAAACGCCAACTAGAACAAGACCGTGACACTCGGAAAGCACTATATAAGAAGTACCATAGAGCTTTCAATGTCGTGGACGGGACTGATACTGCCCTTATGGCAACCAGCATGGGACTAGGGGCGGCAGGTGTTGGGTTGTTAGCTACCATCGTGGCTGCACCTATAGTGCTAGGCATTGAAATAACAGCTGGGGTGGCAGGGGTGTTAGGGTTGGTGCTTAAGTTTGCATCACGCAGACTGCATCATAAGGCATTGAAACATGACGAGATCAGGGTTCTGGCCGAAGCAAAACTGAACATGGTAAGTGAGCGTATTTCAGCAGCACTCACTGACAGTAAGATCTCGGAGGAGGAGTTTCGCTCAATCCTCTCTGAACTCGACAAGTACCGTAAGATGAAACAAGAAATCCGTTCCAAGTCTCGTAAGTCTGCTATCAGCGAAGACGAGAAAAAAAAGTACATAGAACAGGGGGTACGAAAAGCCCAGCAAGCCTTTATTACAAACACCAAAGAGATCATAGGCGATTCACATTAAACTGTTTCATCGAGGTCAACGCGACATAGCGGCACAATAGTGCCACGTGGAGCCGGGGAGTTAACTGGGGGTTCAAAAGTAGTAGATACAATGGTGGCGAGATCTAAGGGCCTAACAAAAGCTTTATTTGTGAAATAAGGCTTTGCAGAGGCTTTTGTTGGACTTGATCCCGGACTATCATTATATATACTACTATATACTCGGGGTTAGGTCAGGAGAGTAAATTTCCAGTGTCCTATATCTAGAGGCAGAACTGGGACACATTCAAGGACAGGTATAGCTGATTTATGGTTCGTTGTGTAACAATGCATGTTGTTGCATAAGGCAACAATATTCAGTGTAAACTCCGCAACACACGGTGACATCTTTTGTTTCGAAAAGGCACGATTTGAGAGCAATGGTGGATATATTCGCCTTCAGTCCTACCACTGCGTTGTTGTGTGGAACTGTGCTAGTTTTGTTATGGCTGCTAACGCGGCGGCCCTCTGGGCTCCCTTCCGGCCCCCATCTCCTGCCGTTTGTTGGGAATATCCTCTCCATGGACGCAGATCCCCGGATTGCGTTTAAGAAACTCAGGCAACAATATGGGGACATCTTCAGTGTTTACTTGTTTAACAAACCTCTCATCGTCCTCAACGGCTACAGCACTCTCAGAGACGCCTTTGTCAAGAACGCCGACGTTTTTTCTGACAGGCCACACTCAACGTTCAATGATTACATTGTAAAAGGGAAAGGTAAGAGTCACAATCTGTAAAGTTCAAGGAGATAAGGTTGCTTTCCATGAGGTGAAGGCTTTGTAAATTATACCTCTGGTTGCAAATGTTAATGTTAATCTGCTGTTTATCAAAACACACCTATCATCATCTGGTTGTATTCACTTTTAGCTTGATAACGATGTAAGGATCTACATAGAAACGTTCGACAAAAAATGATGACTAATTAAGGAATTGTTACTAATTCGAGACTGCCGTACGTTCCATGCATAACGGTGTTTGGTTATTTGCGATTTTTCATAAAGTTTCTCCACCTGTTCCCCCACACCATGAAAGAAAATGATAAGCGAAATATTGAATCATTTCACCAGGAACAGTCCGTGTTCAAGGAGACTGGAGAAAACTTTTACAAGATGCTTCTGAATATGCCAACCGGTATGCTTGTAGTTTAGATGAGAAACCTAATGTGCTAACACATTCCTTTCCTCTTCATTGACAGGCCTGTCCGGGACTTCTGGGGTGCTCTGGCGCGAACAAAGACGCTTCGCCCTCAACACTCTCAGGGAGTTTGGAGCGGGCAGGAACATCATGGAGGACAAAATACACGAAGAGGTCACGAACTTTGTCGAGGCTTTGGAGACAGAACGAGGACAAGGGTTTGACTGTAAACGTCTGGTGCACAATGCAGTATGCAATGTCATCTGTTCCACTATGTTCAGCAAGCGATTTGAATATACCGACCCTCTATTCGTAAAAGTTTTGAAAGCTATGGATGAATATTTTGCCAACTTGGGTTCTTCTGGTGTGTTAAACGTGCTGCCTATTGTGCGCTTTCTACCAGGGGATCCATTCAAATTTAAGAAGACCGTACAGAATATCCAAACCATCATTTCACTTCTCATAGACCCTATGATAAAAGAGCATTTGCAGAACCATGATGGGGATAACGTTGACGACTTCATTCACGCCTACATCAAGGAAATGCGACTACGGAAAGAAACGCAAGAGGAGACGACCTTAGACTGTAAGCATCAACAGACCGAATCTTGACTTTTTTCTTCTGGTATTTGACAGTTTATAGCCGATTTATTGGGTACCTGTTGCCTTGTTATGGGACAAGAAACGTTTTATGGATATGTTGTTCATGTGTTAATCATAACATGAGAGGATAACTGTGAATATGAGTTCAATCAGTTCAGGTCTGAAAAATACGCATTTTACCTTCCTTCGGCGACAGATTTTATGAAATAAAATTATAAATGATTTCAGTATGACCTGTTTTTTTATCACGATATGGATGAAGTGACAATGTGACTGTAAACATTAACTCTCTCACTCACACGTCAGTGAAGGAGATCTATATTGAGGTTGATGTTCTGTTTCAGTGGAGAACTTGGTCATGGTTATTGCAGACCTCTTTGCAGCCGGAACAGAAACCACCGCCACTATCATACTTTGGACACTGGTCTATTTATTGCATAATCCGGATGTACAGGAAAAGTGTTTTCAGGAGATCAAAGGAAACATTGGCCAGAGCAGATTGCCTTCCATGAAGGACAAGACCAACCTGCCCTACGTGGAGGCAACCATTATGGAAGTGTTGAGACGAGCTGATATCGTCCCCACTTCACTCCCTCATACCGTTCCCCACGATGTCCAGTTCGGGGGATACACGTTCCCCAAAGGTGTCCCAGTCATAGTGATGCTTGATTCAGTCCTACAAGACCCGGATGTTTGGGGTGATCCAGACAACTTCCGGCCTGACCGTTTCCTTGACGACACTGGCAAGATTGTAAAGAAAGATGAGTTCATTCCCTTCTCTCTGGGTGAGTATAGTCGCCCGGAAAGACACAGCCCCCAAATGTAATTTAAATATATAATTGAAATGATAGTAAATATATAAATAATTAAAAATATCTTGAACTTTACGTTGTGTTCTTTTAAAAAATGTCCAATAAATATACACCGATAAGCAAAAAGAATATCTCTTTACTGAAGTTGAATTTCGAACAAAATTAATCGAACCTTACTATAAACGACAAATATGAAATACAGAAACTGACTTTCATCATTCTTTATCTTAGAAGAGTATGAACTTCATAAAGTGAGAGCCAGACGCATCGCCCCCCCTTAAAAAAATATAATAACTAAATAAAAAAATATAAATAAAATAAAATAAATTAAAAAATATATATATAAACAATGATTAAAAAAAATAAATAAGTAAATAATAATAATAAAATAACCAATACATTATACGCGACTTAAAATTAATATTATTAATAAAGTAGTATGGTTGGCGGATCACTAAAGGGAGGTTATAGCAGTTGTGCCTTAACAAGTTGCTGACGAGTGTCACTGACATTCGTGTCTACGTTTAGTAAGCTGGGTACTATTTTGTTTCTAATGCACTATCGAGTAGCTGGGTTTTCCGGTTCGCTGCTCGTTTGGCTGTCTTGTTTGTCTGCAGAATGGCGTTGCTTGGCATTAGCGTGCATATTTGTGCTTTTTGCATGGACAGATTAAACCAGGCGTTATGTGGTAGCAGCAATGTTATTGCTTCCATGACCTTGCTAGTATTCATGTCGGTTATATGTTGCTGACAAAGCAATTTGGGAACTGATACTGGGAGGTAAACGAGAAGCTCTGGCGGGAAATAAAATGATAAGCTTTGCAAGGAATTCATTGTCTGCTAATACATATAAGTGTTAGATACAGAAGTTGACATCCTACATTATTTTTATCCCACGGTTTTACCGCCGGGGCAGTATTTTGGAATCCGTTCGTCCGTGCAAATTCGAGTTTTCACGCAGTAGAACATAAAAACAGTTAAATATTTCTTTATTAAACTTGGCATATAGATAGATCTGGTGGTGAACTGGTGCGTTTTGGTAGTTTTGGATATCTGAATAAACTTTCTTTTTTCCTTTCCATGGAAACAAGTTTGACTTTGACTGAAATGGGTGTTAATGATCTTTTC